GCCAACAGATGAATGCATAAAGAAAACATATGTATACATACACACACACAATGGAATATTACTAACAATCCTCAGAACTGTTATTGAAACATCACCCTAATCAGTAATACCTATGATCCATATTTATTCAACCATAAATATGAAGGAAATTCTGCCATTTGCAACAGCGTAAGTAGAACATAGGGGCATTATGCTAAGTGAAATATGAAGCAAGTCAGACAAATGCTATCTGATCTCATTTATATGTGGAATCTAAAAAGAACTAAACTCAGAGAAACAGAGAACATATTGGTGGTTGTGAGGCAGGGAGTGGAGGGTAGGTGAAATGGGTGAAAGTGGTCAAAAGTTACAAACTGATTATAAGATAAATAAGTCCTGGAGATGTAATGTAAAACATGGTGACTATAGTTAACAATACTGTATTGTATATCAAAGTTGCTAAGAAAGTAGATCTTAAAAGTTCTCACCACACAAAAAAATGTATAACTAGGGAGAATCGAAGATGGCGGCATAGGTAAACACCGGAGACTGCCGCCGTAAACAACCACTTCAAAAATACAACTAAAAGTCGGAACGGACATCAACCAGAACCACAGGGAGGCTGGCTGAGGAGAGACTCTTCAACTAGAAGCAAAAACAACAGCATTCCGACGCACAGAGGAGGCGCAGTGTGGAAAATTTAAAGGTACGGTGGTGCGGTGGTGAGGTGGTGCGCGCGCAAAGCGGGCTGGTGGCTGAGGGCGCGGTTGTCTGTTTCAATCCAGAGGGAGCCTCAGACTCAGAGCTACAGATCCGGGCGAGTCTCTAGGGACCGAGACTCAAACGGGAGAAGTGGGACTGTCTGGCTACAGCCCCTCCGAGGTTTGCAGCGGTTTCTGGGACAGAGAGGCAGAGCCCCTGGGGACGGACTGAGAGCAGCCATAGCTGCTCCCTCCCCCCGCCCTGTTGAGCCCGCCCGCCCAAGCCCTGCGCACAGCCATTTGCCGATCGCCTCAGGCAAGGGCTGGACTAGCGCCTCCCCAGAAGACAGACGCTTTCCAAACAGCTGATTCCTACAGCCAGTCGGCCTGGTGGTCAAATCCCTCTAGTGTTAACTACAACAATTAAGGCTTGGCTAGAACAAGACTGCGCACAGAGACCACAAGGGGGTGCACCAAGAAAGCATAAAAGATGCGGAGACAAAAAAACATGACAGAAATGGAGGATATGGAGCTAAGAATCGCAATTTTGAGGGCTTGCCATAAATTTGTGCAGAGCCTCACGAAAACTAATGAGACCCTCGATGCTACGATAAAGAAATTAGAAAGTAAGCATACACGGACTGAAATAAAGAATATTATACCCAATAGCAGACCTGAGGAGCACAAGAATCAAACCAAAGATTCGACAAAAAACACCCAATTGGAAAAGCAAAATGAAAAAAGAATCCGAAAGTGTGAAGATAGTGTAAGGAGCCTCTGGGACAGCTACAAGCGTACCAACATCAGAATAATAGGAGTGCCAGAAGATGAGAGACAGCAAGATATTGAAAACCTATTTGAAGAAATAATGGCAGAGAACTTCCCCCACCTGGTGAAAGAAATGGACTTACAGGTCCAAGAAGCGCAGAGAACCCCAAACAAAAGGAATCCAAAGAGGACCACACCAAGACACATCATCATTAAAATGCCAAGAGCAAAAGACAAAGAGAAAATCTTAAAAGCAGCAAGAGAAAGAGACTCAATTACCTACAAGGGAATACCCATACGACTGTCAGCTGATTTCTCAACAGAAACTTTGCAGGCCAGAAGGGAATGGCAAGAAATATTCAAAGTGCTGAATACCAAGAACCTACAACCAAGATTACTTTATCCAGCAAAGCTATCATTCAGAATTGAAGGTCAGATAAAGAGCTTCACAGATAAGGAAAAGCTAAAGGAGTTCATCACCGCCAAACCAGTATTATATGAAATGCTGAAAGGTATCCTTTAAGAAGAGGAAGAAGAAGAAAAAGGTAAAGATACAAATTATGAACAACAAACATGCATCTATCAACAAATGAATCTAAGAATCAAGTGAATAAATAACCTGATGTACAGAATGAACTGGTGATTATAATAGAATCAGGGACATAGAAAGGGAATAGACTGACTATTCGTGGGGGGAAAAGGGGTGTGGGAGATGCGGGAAGTGACTGGACAAAAATCATGCACCTATGGATGAACACAGTGGGTGGGGAGTGAGGGTGGAGGGTGGGGTGGGAGCTGGAAGGAGGGGAGTTATGGGGGAAAAAAAGAGGAACAAATGTAATAATCTGAACAATAAAGATTTAAAAAAAAATGTATAACTATGTGAAGTGATAGGTGTTAACTAAACTTAGCTGGCAATGTTTGCACAATATATACATATATCAAATCATTATGTTGTATATCTTTAATTAGATATTATATGTCAATCATGTCGATTAAACTGGGGGAAAAGTTTTTTTAAATAATGTCCATGTGTCTGTTTGGAGGAGACTGATACTTTTAAATATAATCCCCTGGCCCAGTGGCTCAGCTGGTTGAAGCATCGTCCTATATACCAAAAGGTTGCTAGTTAGATTCCTGGTCAGGACACATACCAGGTTGAGGGTTCGATCCCCAGTCACGGCACATATGGGCGGCAACCAATCAATGTTTCTCTCACTAATCAATATTTCTCTCTCTTTCTTCCTTCCTCTCTCTCTAAAATCAATAAACATTTATCCTCAGATGAGGATTAAAAAACATTTTTTAAAATAAATATAATCCATGAACCAGAAGTACTGCTCTGACATTACATTTGACACACAATTAAGTGTGTCACCATGGGGACTGAAACAGAGGTTATTTTACACATTGGTTAAAAATTAGAATTCTGTGATTATAGTTCTACAGTCTGTATGAACAAAAATTGATCACATTATGAATGAACAATAGAAGTCTATAAGCAATTAGTTTATTATAACTTTTTGGATTTGATGGCACATTAACAACAAAAAACAATCCAGGGCAGTAATGGCTATTGTGGTTTCAGAAAGGTATATGTTGCCGTAACCGGTTTGGCTCAGTGGATAGAGCATCGGCCTGCGGACTGAAAGGTCCCAGGTTCGATTCCGGTCAAGGGCATGTACCTTGGTTGTGGGCACATCCCCAGTAGGGAGTGTGCAGGAGGCAGCTGATCGATGTTTCTCTCTCATCGATGTTTCTAACTCTCTATCCCTCTCCCTTCCTCTCTGTAAAAAATCAATAAAATATATAAAAAAAAAAAAAAGAAAGGTATATGTTAAATAGAAAAAATATGTTTAAATAATAACATTCCTTAAGATAGAGGTCTAGTTCTAGTGGAAAAATAATTCACCACCATAATTACAAAGTAACTAATTAAATGATGTATTTTTTATTTACTGATATGCATTTATAATTCTTATTTTGAAGCAAAGATTTTTATTTTTCTGGTGCCATCAAGTGGTAACATTATGAAGTGTTCTAGAGTTAAATGCAAATAACTTTTAGACAAAAGAATCACACTGATGTATTTTATCTATGTCAATTAGACACTAGTGATGTTTTATCACAAAAATTATCTAAAAAGAAGAGAAAAATATCAGAGCCGATTGTTTGCAACTCATCCCTATTTTAAACCCCCAACCCAAAATAACAGTTAAGACAAAGAAATATGAGTAGATCTTTAAGATCAGAATGCTCCACTAGCAAAAAAACAAAACAAAAAACACTCCAACAGATTATGAAACTATTAGAAAACCAAGTTTGTATTAAAATGATATATATTATCAGCCAAACCAAGAGAAATGCTCCTTCCTGAAACTCCATTAACATGGCTGTAAAATCATTATTTTTAAGGCAAAATCCCACAAGGACAAAGAGACTGAGAGAAAAGATAGCAGCAACACAATTTTAGAAGCCAGCAAGGAGATGGGTGAGTGGTTACAGACTTGGGGAAACTCCAGAAAGCTGCCCGACTGACATGGCACTAAATCTCTCCCAAAGTTCAGGAGCTGGTGGCTCTAAGTAGCTGTGGACACGAGAGTGAAGAATAAAAACAAGAAACTTAGTCAAAATCAGTTAAAAAGCAATTAGGATACCACTACACACGCTTCCTCTTCCACTCCATGCAGCCAAGCATTCATCTTTACACCACATTAAAAGAATGAAGGTTATACTCTAGGAAGAGTACAGCAGAATGCTTCTGGACTACAGGACACACGCACAGTGAGGTCAGGGGAAGTGTTAGTAATACAGGAGATGGTAGTAATCTGAATGGTACTAACAAGTCAAAGATCACACACAGAAAATAATGAAGATGGTAATTTTCTGGAAAAAAACCACTGGAAGAAGGTCTCATCAACCTTAGATTATTGTGTCCAGGAAGTCATGTAACTAACTGCAGCATGCTTCACTCTGGTTCTATAAGGAAAAGGCAAATGATTAAACAAAACCTGATGCTTAAAAAAAAAAAAAAAGGTAACTTCTACTTATAGACATTCAACAACATTCAACTCTACATGCCCTGTATCACTCTCATGCATTAGCTGAGAATTTACTGCAACTACGAAGAACAAAATAGTAGGCAAATCCAAGGACCTTTTACACTCTTAGTTTAAAAGCCCATTTCATCTCCTCTCTTCAGGCCATTGAGAGTAGATGCACTAAAGAATCGCTGTGAACACTCCTGAGAGAGGTGAAGGCTAGTGACCATTGGCCATATCAGAGAAAACACACATTATTATTCATAATAGAGACTCAGAGACTTGTTTTTTCAATCCTATTTTGTTGCTTAATTTATCAAAGCAGAGAGTTAAGTGTATCTGATACTGTCATGTAACCAGAGGAGATATCCATATTTAGGCCATTTAATCTTCAGTATAGAAATTTTCAGTCTTTTTTTTTTTAGAGGATTATATATAAGACAAATAGTTATATGTATACATGTTTTTCCAGATATCAACAAAAGAAACATTAATATACATAAAACTGTACCTTGTACACCTTCTAGAAGTAAGTCAACTCCCTTCCTATAAAAATCAGAAGCAGCTTCATAGTCATCTTCTTCTTCCTTCTTTAAAGCCAGCTTTATGAATTCTCCTGCTTTCTCCAAATAATTTCTCTTGCCAAGCTTGGATTTTAAACTGCCAGGAAAGAGGCTACGATTTTCCCGTTCTTCTGTCTTGTTCTGCTCACTGTCATAAGCAACAGCCCCTAGTGCTGAAGGATCCAAAGGAAGATTGAGACCAAAAGTTCTAGTGGGAGAATTTTGATTGGAAGCCATTCCATCATCTAACTCAGCAAGGGAATCCACATCGACAGTAAGAGATATCAGGTCACTGTCACTGGAGAAGCCTGGAAATACAATCATAATAGTAAACATTAAATTGAGAATCAACCAAAACAATACAAATCATGCTATTAATTTTTTCATCTATCAAAGTCAATTAGGAAGGCTGTAATTTACTGATGAAGTCAGTGTCTAGCAATTTGTTTTAGCATAGTTCTTTCATTTTTTCCCAATATTTGTATTTTTTATTTGTTAATCCTCACCCAAGGATATGTTTATTGATTTTTAGAGAAAGAGGATGTGGGAGAGAGAGACAGACTGAAAGATGTGACAGAAACATCAATTGGCTACCTCCCCTATGCACCTGGACCGGGGATTGAACCCGCAACCCAGGTATGTGCCCTGACTGGGAATAGAACCTGCAACCTTTCGGTGTAGAGGACGATGCCCCAACCAACTGAGCCACCCTGCAAGGGCAGTTCATTCATTTTCACACTGTCACTCAACAGCTCTGGAAGAACATCTCCTTGCCTTAATTATCAAACTAAAACTGAAGATAAGTTTTATCTAGCCTTGTTGTCAAAAAGAGCCTTTACCACAAGATCTTGCAAACCATTTTTAGCAAGCTCATGCTTGCACACATAGCTGCTATGAACAATAATATTATGATGAAGGGAAAAGAGTAAGAGCTTTAGAGTAAGTACAAAAGAAGTTTAGAAACCCAGCTCTTAAAACTTATTGTGTGACCAACAGCAAATTACTTAATAGTTTTACTTATTATGCAGGGCATTACGAGAACAAAGTTAATACATATGAAGCATAATAGACTATCATTAAATTACAACTCTAGCAATTATATAATAATTATTTAACTATTTAGACCATATATTCCCAGAAATGTGTTTTTAGGTCACCATCCATATCATCAGGTGGGGAGTGTGCAGGAGGCGGCCAATCAATGATTCTCTCTGATCATTGATTTCTCTATCTCTCTCTCACTCTTCCTTCCCCTTGGAAATCAATAAAAATATATTTTAAAATATATATTTAAAAAAATTTTTTAATAAAATAAAGAACTGAATTATTAGAAATCTTTGTTTCAGACACTTCCACAGCTTTTGGAGAAAGTTTTGGTCTATATTTGTATCTTAGTTTTCTAACAGAAAATGAAAAATAGGTGCTGCTAAAATTTTTAATAATGAGAATTACTTCTCCCACTTCATATAACTGACTTCATGGTAAATAAGCATGATGTATAATAACAGTTACTAAACTTTTTGGTCTTAAAACCTCCCTTTACATTCTCAAAAATGACTGAAAACCTCAAAGAGATTCTATGTGGACTTTATAAATATTTACCAATCTTAATATTTAAAAAACCGATAATTTTTTTAATTAAACATTAAAGCCCATCCGAAACCGGTTTGGCTCAGTGGATAGAGCGTCGGCCTGCGGACCCAAAGGTCTCAGGTTCGATTCCGGTCAAGGGCATGTACCTGGGTTGCGGGCACATCCCCAGTGGGAGATGTGCAGGAGGCAGCTGATGGATGTTTCTCTCTCATCGATGTTTCTAACTCTCTATCTCTCTCCCTTCCTCTCTGTAAAAAATCAATAAAATATTTAAAAAAAAAAAAAAAAAAAAAAACATTAAAGCCCATTACAAGTTAACATGATTTTTATTTTTAAAAATTTTATTTTTCAAAACAAAAAATATTTAGAGAAGTGGCACTGTTTTACATTTCTGCAAATCTTGTTAACAAAAGATGGCTAGATCCTCATATCTGTTCTCTGCACTCAATCTGTTGTCAGATGTTGTTCTGGTTGAAAGATTTGAATAAAATGTCACATAGATATATAATTGAAAATGGGGCAAATATTTTAGTAGCCTTTTTAAATAATTGTGGAGACTATCTTTTAATACTACAACAAAACTTGGTAAGTGGTTGTTTCTTAAAGCTTAGTTGCCATGTAGAACATAACATAAATTCCTATCAACGAAATTTCTGTTTTTGTTTGTATATTTTGTTAATTTTTATTGTTGAAAGTATTACGTATGTCCCTCTTTTCCCCCCACTGACCCCTTCTAGCCCACCCCCACCCTAGGCCTTCACACCCTATTGTCTATGTCCATGGGTTATGCATGAAATTTGTTTTGTTACACACAAATCCATTGGTCTGTCTTACACACTGAATGGATCTTTTTATCCATCATGAATTTGTAACATCACACATTGGTCATTTTGAAAATACTGGTTTCCAGAGCTATATAGATAAAGTGGTAACAAATTTCATATTATAATATCACCACCAAAACCGAATTTGTTATTATCACCACCAATTTCACCAGAAAATTCTTTAAGTATTGGAAAACTGTCAAGCTCAAAGTGGAAGATACAAGTTCTCCAAAATTCTAATTGTAGGTTGCAAACCTGAATTTTATCAGTGGCAACACATGCTGTCAGTTATTTTCTCCTTCAAGTATCAGCTCACTTCGTTAACTTTCAAAAAGATATGTGCCAAATTCCCAAGTTGAATAATGACAGTTTGTCTGTTAATCATCCTTTCAAGTATATATGGTGTTCCAAGAAAAAAAAGCAACTAGGTTATGGCTCAAGCAACTGCACAAGAACTTTTCCCTAAGACAACCATGGTAGTTCAGTATGCAGAAGTGCTTTGTGTATACTTCCATTCCGTCACACAGAATATCAACAAAGGCATGTACCCAAAGGTTGAGGTTTAATGAAATTGAGTTTTTAGTGCTTTATCAAGGACACTCAGCACTGGCATTACTGCAAGTGTGTCAATGCTTTCAGTTACTGGCTGGTGTCGCTCTTTTGATTCATGCTCTGGCACACTAGTTTTACCCACCATTGTTTCTGTGTCATCAGTGAACATGCCAAAAAATATTCTTTTGAATTCTGTCAACCATTTAAAATATAAAAACCAGCCCTAGCCGGTTTGGCTCAGTGGATACAGCGTCAGCCTGCGGACTGAAGGGTACCAAGGTTCCATTGCGGCCAAGGGCACATGCCCGGGTTGTGGACTCGATCCTCAGTGTGGGGCGTGCAGGAGGCAGCCAATCAATGATTCTCTCTCATCATTGATGTTTCTATCTCTCTCTCCCTCTCCCTTCCTCTCTGAAACCAATAAAAATATATTTAAAAAATAAAATATAAAAACCATTCTTAGCTTTTAGGTCATATAAAAACAGGTGGCAGGCCAGATTTGGCCCACAGGCTATACGTTGTCAACTCCTATTATAGACTCAAATTGTTTATTTCATATCAAATAAGTTAGGGTAAAAACATGTTACTGGCAGCTAAACTCAAATTTTAAATCAGCTTTAGACACAACTTTGGCACCCTGTCAATAAAATATTCTGTTTTCAGGGTTTTGTTTTTTTCAAATCCTCAGAATGCCCATAAAGAACTAATTTTGAGGTACAAACTTCCTGTACCTCATAGGAATGTAATGTACAGCATGGCAACTATACTTAATAATACTGTACTGCATATCTGAAAGTTGCTAAGAGTAGATCTTAAAAGTTTTCATCGCAAGAAAAAAATTTATATGTATGGTGACAAATATTAAGTAGACTTAATGTGGTGATCATTTTGTGATACAGTTGACCCTTGAACAATGTTGGGCCCCAACCCCAACCCCATACAGTTGAAAATACACATATAACTTTTGACTCCCCAAAAAACTTAACTACAGTCCCTCAGTATCCACGAGAGATTGGTTCCAGGATCCCCCGCAAATACTAAAATCCACGGATGCTCAAGTCTCATATAGAATGGCAAAGAACAATGCATACAGTCAGCTCTTTGCATCCTCCAATCAAAAATACTGTTTTCAATATGCAGTTGGTTAAACGCATAATGCAAAACATGGGAGATGGCCCTAGCCTATTTGGCTCAGTGGATAGAGCGTCAGCCTGCAGACTGAAAGGTCCTGGGTTCGATTCCAGTCAAGGGCACATGCCTGGGTTGCGGGCTTGATCCCCAATAGGGGGTGTGCAGGAGGCAGCCAATTGGTGATTCTCTCTCATCATTGATGTTTCTATCTCTCTCTCTCCCTGTCCCTTCCTCTCTAAAATCAATAAAAATATGTTTAAAAAACAACAACATGGGAGATGAAGGGAAACTGTATATTTACTAAAAAAAAAAAAAATCTGCATATAAGTGGACCTGTGCAATGCAAACCCATGTTGTTCAAGGGTCAACTAGGAATACAAACATCTAATCATTACGTTGTACAACTGAAACTAATGTTATGTCAATTATGCCTCAATAAATTAGATTAGATAGATAGATACAGAAAGATAGACAGAATTAATTTTTGCTCCTTAAAAACAATAGATTTCATTAAATGCATAATCTGCAATGAGATTCACAGGACCTAGTGGAAATCTCTTCATTTCTATGACATTTCAACTGTACACAGTACTTCAAAATCAAAATCTTTTCCAGCAATCTGCAAAATTATCCACTGTTTTGAGAAATATATATATACTTTATGAGATTTTTAAAATAATTTTTAAATATTTTATGTATGTCAATGAAAATTTATTTCCTTAAATGGTGTCATTGTAGTCCATTGAAATTAATAAACAAATATCAGGTTTAATATTTTTTCTGGTTTATGCAGCTAATCACAAAAGAAAGGAAATGCTGTCAGAAATCTTTTGTCAGCTCTCCCGTGTCTTGTCACTATAACCTTCACATCATCTATCACATTGTACTGTCTCATGCGTTGCCTGATTTTCCTTTCTACAGGAACAATAGCACCAAAGGGCAAGAGGGTAAAGTTATGTATACTCAGTTTCTTGGCTTTTGACCACAAAAATCTAGTATCATAGTCACATTTCCTCTTACCTTTCCAACCTTATTTTATTAGCAAAGGAAACCATGGTTAAATAAAATTAGATCAGAAAAGTAAGACCATCAAAATACTGAGGAAGAAAGTAAGATAGCAACATAAAGTAAGAAATATACTATACAAATTGTTTCAATTTCTACCTAATTCTAAATGAATCTTTCAAAGTAAGCAAGCAAGTAAAACA